ATATCAATGTACATCAATTTATAATGACTCATCGAAAAGCAACCTAGCTCCATAAAATTCTTATATATAACCACATGCTGTTTTTATTATTCCCAAAGGTTCTCCCATGATTTGACTTAAAAATACACACCTTGAAAGAAATATGTTGACCAATAGGAGTAAAAAGCTTGGGCATTAAGCATGAGGAAGTCTAGAGAATTAACATTGAAGAATTAAATGAAGGAAAATGCAAAATTGTCTACGCAAGAGCAAGGGAGTAAAGCTGGATAAGCACATTAGTGGCCTTAAATCAACCATGAAATTACAAGAGTTATATCATCAAATGAAATTCAAGAACCAAGGCGGCTAACCAATTTAATTGGTGCTAAGTTAAATTAAGTACCGCAAGGTATATCTTCTATATATATAAGAGTAAGAGCTCTCCAACCCAGTGCTACTCCTTAATTTGTGTTTGCACTAAACTAGGCCAAAATCTTCCTCTAACCAACCGTGCGTTACCTCTCTGCACTAGAATGGAGAAACGAATAGTGTTGCGCTACTTTGATGAAGATTGTGCATCAAAGGTAAAAAATGTGTAAACCCACACTAAACGGCCGTTGGTCAACACAAAAATTTGTGCTCGAAAACGAGCATTTTTTGTTAATTTATTGCATAAATATCAAATGAACAAGCCTGCAACGTTCTTAAAAGAAAACATGCAAAAAAAGATCTTAAAGATAATTTGAAAAACATGGAAAGAAACTACTCCCGCCCTACTTCCAACTGCTTCATTTTTGTTCAGTTTCACGGACTGTCGTGACGCGATGACTTTTGCGGTGTGAAGACGTCCTTGTGTCGTGGCGCAGCACGCATCGCGGCGCGAAGCTCCCGAATCCTGAGTCTCTGTTGGCTCGTGCCAGCTCTCGCGGCGTGAAGAGGAGGTGGTGTTGTGGTGCGACACGCATCGCGGCGCGAAGCCCCGAAAACCTTCAACCTCTGTTGACTCGCGACTCACCTCGCGGCATAAGGCCTGTGCGCCCTCGCGAGATGGTTGTTTGGGCTGGTGCTGCACGAGGCCTGTGTTGGATTCGCTATACCATACGGGGTAAACACAGCGAAATTAAAACGAAATAAATAAGCATTTATCTAATATATATTAAACTCGTCGGTTCATATAGCGATTGTTACGATCGACATCTTTTAAAATCACGTAAAATTATGAATTTTGATTTGTAAAGAATTTCGAAAATTACCTTTAATTTTCTTCGTAAAGCGAGGACGGAGTCAATTCCTGGTTATGTGGCTATCACGGTCTTCGTACTCCGTAAAGGATCCAAGTGTCTCCCCTCTAATCGAGTCCATCTTTTGAATTTTGACTCCGAGAACAATTTTTTCGCTAGTAGAAATTTTCCAGAATTGAATCGGTATAATGAATCAAATTGAGAGGAGATTTTTTTTTTTCTTTTTCAAAAACTGAGAGCTTCTCTTGATATATGGGAAATATGCTTAATTTTCATGTGTTTACATCTCATGTACTCACATATATATATTAATGTAGCAATGAGGTTTTTACAAAAACAAACAATGTTCAACATATATATAATCATGTGATAAGGCATCTTACAACTCACACCCAAACAAAACTTCTTTTTATTAATTAGGGTGAGTTGGATCGGACAACAACTCCCATGATCTCATCTAACAATTTTATTTTATTTTAATCTATAATCTTAATTAAAGATTAATTAAAGATAATGATCCATAATTGATAAAACTATCTTTCAAATAATTAATTGGTCAAAATCTTATCTCCCATGTAGAATAAAATCTCCTCTTTTATGTAGGCTTTTAATATATAATCATATTAATATTTGGATTTGAATTTTAAAGTCCAACTTTAAAATCCAACTATTAATTTAGTAATTCAAATAATTACTTAATTAATATACAAAGCCTAATTAATCAATCCAATTGATTTTATTCATTTAATTGATATCTAATCAAAATTGAATTTAATTAAATAATCAAATTATTTAATTAAGTTTTTGTCAATTAATCCAACTATTGAAAATACCAATTTCAAAATGTCATCATCCAAATTTTAGTGTGACCCTTTTAGGTTCACTATTAACACTAGTAGCGGGTTGACAACTTGTTTGTAATTTAAATTAATCTAATTAATTTATATTCTTGAAATTAACTCCTTAATTTTCCTCTCGCGACCAAAACCCTACCTCACCAAAACCCTACCTCCTCAGCTCACGAAATTCCGGCGAATCTTCCTCCCTCGGCGTCGGTTAAGCTCGGCCTACGGTCATCCTAAACTGTCCTTTCCCCCCTGGCGACATGTGCCCTCCTCTCACCTTCAGATAGTTTGGCGACGAGGCGTCAGGTCCGTGGTTTCAGATGGAGTCGACGACGGTGGTGGCGCTTCATCGATTTCGTTGCAAGGCCGGAGATCGGAACCTAGTTCCAATAACTGGAGGAGCTGCGACTCTGATGGTAAGTCCCGTTTTTCTTCCCTCTGTTTGTGATTGCCGGACTTGGTCGTTTCTGGCGGCGCTTCTCCTCTTCTGGTGAGGCCGCGCCTTTTGTCGTGGGTTGTTTGAGGCGGTTCTGGGTGGCGTATGTGTCGCCGGGTGGGGTGGGTCCCTGATTACTGCGGCACTCCTTGTCGTGGCGGTTGGGGGGAGGGCTGTTTTTCTCTTGCTCTGTTCTCCGTCGACTAGTGGTGTTAGGAGGCGTGGGAGGTCCTTTCGGACTCGTCTAGTGGTGTTAGAAGAGTGCGGATGGATTAGGTGTGGGATGGACCACGGCTCTCTCGGTCATGGATGGGTCGATTCAGGGATTGGTTCGGGTTAGATTTCTACTACTGTATAGGCTTGATTGCAGTTTCGGTAGCAAACTCCTGGCCGGATTTGTCTTGTGTCGATCGTTCACTGCTGGTTTGTGCTAGCTCGTTCGTCGGGGAAGGGCTGTTAGTTTTTTAGTTTTATATGTTGTTTTGTGTTTCATCGTATTTGTGTCTGTGTTGTTCTTGTCTTTTAGGTTTGGGCCATTTGGCCTCTGTGCGTCCGAGTGTCACCTTTATTACCCTGTTGGGGTCCCGACACTCGGTATTACCCTGTTAGGGTCTTTGTATTGTTTGTTGTGTTTTGTAGTTGGTCTGTTTAGTGCGAGTTTTTATTCTAGCGTTGCTAGCGAGTCTCTAGGCGGGCTTCTGACCTGTCCTCCCACTTTTTCAGCTGTTGGCTGCTGTGTATTCAGCCGTTAGCTGCTGTGTATTCGCACATTTGTGCATTTTGATTTATAAAACTATCTATCGTTTCGGGAAAAAAAAAAAAGAACCCACAAATCATGGTAACACCTAGCAAGTAGCATGATTATCTAGTATTAGGTGAAATAGCGAGTAAACCTTTTCAATTGCAAGTGCATACATGTAAAATCTTTTTGACAACTAATTTCCTGATTAAATCTTGGGTATGGATTTATAAGTCGAAACCCAATTGATTTAATAACTATGATTCCATTTCAAGTTTAGTGATTCCTTTATAAATCCATATTCATCCCGCCTTGGCCAAGGTCTTAGAATCACAAACTATGAAAACATAGGAAATTCACTTATCCATATAAGTGTCGAATTCTTTGTTGACCACAGATAAACCTCCATACACATTTATACAGTACCCAACATATCTCTTTTATAATTGTCCAGCAACCAAAGAATAAATCAATGTAAAGCACAACATGCACAAGATTACTATTGTGCCTCAAGTCAAAGGATCAGTAATGTACTATTGCAACATGAAAAATCTTATTCGACAGTTTAAAAACTTCCAGTTAAGAATTTTCATCGGGCCATGTTCGGTAAACTTGTTCTCTAACAAGCACCCGCATATATGCATTTGCGTCCATACGCTAATATTGATGGAATGCAACAATCTCGTCCTACGAACATGTATCATATGCACAAGTCTTACCGGGTTATTCGATGTCCTCTCTCGAAATACCTATTGACTTGGAACTTATTTAAAATCACAGTTTTAAAGACATGTTCCATAATTGTCATCAAATGCGCAATCATGCCTTATAGCTAATAATGATCTAAGGACTTTATCATATGTGCAAATATAGGATAAATGCGAAGATATAAGATAAAGCAATGCCTTAAAATAATATAATTCCAATAAATTATTTTTACAAGTAGAAATAAATCTAATCTAATTGGAATGCTGGGTATTCTACTCTAACAGCATGGTAGCTGCTGCATTGCTCCCGACCTGCTGCTCGGTTCTAGGCCTGTTGCTCGGGACTACCACGATCGGGCTTGATGTGGTTGGGCCTGTTACGCGCACCTCTTCGATACGAGCATGTCAGGCTCGGTTTTATGCATTCTTGAGGTGTCGACCTTCGTTCGCATTATTATCGTCCCCTTCAAACAAATCCTTGTCCTCAAGGATAAGACTGGAAATTGCACATGAATAACTTGCATGGTTTCCCAAGTTGCCTCTTCTTGCGGTAAATTCTCCCACTTGATTAAAACTTCCCAATAGAAACGCCCCACTCTTTTTACTCTCTGATAGTCCATTTCACGACTTGGTCGTACCAAGATTACTCTCCGATCATCCATTTCTTGACTTGGTCGAGATATCCTCCTCTTGACTTACCGCCGGTAAACTTGTCTGCACCTTATGACCATCGCCTAGGCTCATTTTTAATTGAGAAATGTCAACTACGGGGCAATTTTAGCTTGTATGCTACCTCACACTCTTTCATTGACTCGATATGGCCCATAAAAACGACTCTCTAGATTGAACAAGGCCTTTTGAAAAATGGTTTGTCGACGGTGCGGTTGCAATTTAAATAGACCCATTCTCCCGGTTTGAACCTCTCTTCTCGACGCCCCTTGTCATAGTATTCTTTCATCCAGTTGATTAAACCATACAAATTAATTTTGAGCTCGCGAATCATCATGTCTCATTCCATGAGCTCTCAATAAACCTCAACATTCGAAGACTTCCCTACTGGATAACTGACGAGCATTGGTGCAATCCGTCCATAAACCAACTCATATGGAGTAAACTTGATAGATGCATGATACATGGTGTTGTACCGAAATTTGGCCCAATGAAAAAATCCCTCTGACTTCTTTGGAAATTGATTGACAAAACACCTAAAGTATTGCTCTCAGTTTGGCCGTACGTCTGAGGATGGTACGCTGAACTCATTACCACCTCGGTACCGTACATCTTGAAGGATTCCTTCCCGAAGTTATTCACGAAAATTCGATCTCGATCAGACACAATAGACCGCGACACACCATGCAATTTAACTATGTATTCCACAGACAACTTGGTTATGGATTTCACCGTGTAAGGGTGGGTCAGTGGAACAAAATGTACATTAATTACATTAAATCCATTCGACATCGACAACCCTTCAGTTAAAGCTATAGAGATATCCTCCCAAATGTGATCGGGTATCGGTAAGGGTTACAGCAACCCGCTCGGTTTGTGGGAATCCGACTTCACTCATTAACAAACATCACATTCGCCACAAAATTCCACACTTCACTCTTTTGTCCTGGCCAATAAAAAAGTGTTGACTAGTCATATCCACTTGCGATAGATGAATGTCCCCCGACCTTCGACTCATGAAAGTACCAGATGATCGTGGTCCTCAATTGGTCGTCCTCCGGTACATATAACCGCTCTTTAAATTACAATAACCCTTCAAACACATCATGGTATTGAGCCATCTCGTCTTGCATCTCCATCATCCTTCGGGCCTCATTACAGAATGTGTCATTTATGTAAGCCTCCCGTAGTTGGTCCCAAGTAGCGCAAGTCGGTCCGGAAATGGATTGAAGCTCGGCCACATCGCGTGTGCTAGATCGGGTGGCCGTGTGGGCTCGCGAGAAGTAGGAGAAATTTTATTCTATGGTTAGTGTAGGTGCATGGTGTTTGTTGTTGTTGTTGTTATTTTTTTTTATTTTTATTTTTGTGTTGTTCCAATATGTTTGTATTGTTTGTGTGGTTGTTATTCTCTGTTATTGGAGTTTGTTAGTCTATACTTGTAAGAGTTTTTTAGTTTATGTTCACGGATTTTAGGCTACCTTAGATAGATATCAATCAAAATTCGATTGAATCACTGATTGATTCAACTTGTTTTGACTATTTTTTAGTCTGTAAATATGTATTTATTAATTAAAGTCTATCATTTAAAAAAAAAAACCAAAGTAGAAATAAACTAAAATTTCATACAATCTTCTAAATACCGGTCAAGCCGGTTTCCACCGACTGAACAAAGCAAAAGCTTTAAAATTGCTTATTTTATTGCCTTTTTTCTACACACAGCCACAGAACACAAAAACGGCCCTCAGATTTCAAAACCAACAAAAGCCCTCTCTCGTAGATAACACGTTCCAAACGAACATACATTCTCTCACTTTTAGGGTTCCAAATTCTGGCAGCTATTCTCTTTCAGTATTTGGTCTTCAACTCCGGTAAGTCGTGAGAGTATACTTCATTTGTATGTATATTGTTCAATTTCTTGAGTAATCTTGAAGTTAATATGTATACTAGACCTGCTTTGTCTCGGGTGGGTTTGCCGTGTATGGATGTTTTGATTCTAACTTGGATTGTCGTTTCATCTTCTTGTGCATGTTTGTGGGAAATTGACAGGGTAGTTGGTGATTTTTGCGTGTTGGTGAACGTTCTGATTATTGGGTATGCCTCTAGTGCTGGTTCTTTGGTTTTAGTAATTTGACATTAGGCATGGCGGGCACGCGAAAAGCAAGTAATGCATGTGGTAGAGAAAGGGGTTCTCGAGGTTTAGCAATGGGGTCGAATTCCAAGGCAGTGAAGGCAAATGGTAGTGCAGCGAGAAAAGAAACTTGCTCAACTGAATCTGGGTGTGAGGGTTTGCTTACGTACAAGAGGAGGAAGAGTGTGAAGGTGGAAGAGAGTAGGAAAGTAACTCAAGATTTGGTGGCCCAACCGAGTGAGAAGGTACATTGAAATTTCGCCAGCTTGTCAATTGTCATCTGTGTTGCGCATCTATTTGCTTGTATATGAGGTTGAATTGTGAAGGTACGTGTTGTGGTTCTGATTTTCTTGTTTTACGTAGGAGTCTCTGGCAACAAATAAGTGAGAAGGCTCTTTGAATTTGGGCCTACATTGATTTGTTTTTTAATTTACAGAAAAAATCTAATCCAATTGATTTCCTAAGACGTATATCCTAAGGGGGCCCCTCTATAAAAGTTTCCTGTTTGAAGTCCTTAGAGCCGCATTCAATAATCAATAGAAGTTGAATTACCTTGCTCTTCAGTTGACAATCTGCTAAGTACTCTTAATAGCAGATGACAACTCAGTTTGTCCAGCGAACTACTCGGGGCTTCCTTTGGTTTTGTAAAATGGATAAAAGACTTTCTCTAAATTCTGCGGCATTCTTTGCCTTGCAGTTAGTTTCTTTCTTTTCTTTTCTTTTCTCTATTTTTAATTCTTATTTTCTCTTTTTAGATGTGAATCATGCTGCATCATTTGATTATATGAACTGCTTATATGTAGATATTTGTTAGTTGGGATGTTTTAGAAGTAGGAGTGTTATAAAACCTGTAGCACCAAAAAGCATCTGAATATTTTAGCATGAGGATGAGGTTGGCTAAGTTCAACTGTGGATTTGTTCATTCGGTACTCATATTTTTATAAAAATATTCATTGTCCGCACATTTCATCTTGTTGTCATGGTTCTCTGATATTGCGGTTTGTGATTTCTGAACTGTTCTACCTGAAGGTTCCTCCGTTAGTCTTGACTGATGATTGTTTACTCATACACCGAAGAAATGTAATTTTAGAACAAATATCTCAGTCGCTCAATACTGAAGATGGTTTGCGAAAATGCATTCATGGCGCAATTGCCTCCCATCCACGAAGTGGCTGCACAACTAGAGTTAAGGTATGTTGTCATCTTGGGGAGACTGGTCATACATTTTTATTATTTATTAGTCGTAGTAATTTGATTGCATCCATTCAGAGACAGGAAATTGGTTTGTCTTTTGAGATTCCAGAAAACCCAGAATTGACTTATCTAAAATATCATTACCATTTTTATACAGGAATCCGTACGTTATAATGATGGTTGTAGCAACTGCAACTCATGGCCTGGGACTTTACACGGTCTCCAGAAGGCAGTTGGGGGCTATGTGGGTATGAAATCGAATGGGTCCACTGATGAATCTATGAATTGCACTTTCACAGAACTCTGTGAGCGAAGCTTTTCTGACATTATAATGTCGGAAAATTTTGCACAGTTGTGCAGCTTACTCCTTGAAAATTTTCAAGGATTGAAGACTGATAAAGTCTTTAATTTGAGCCAAATAAACTCAAGGATGGAGGAGAATGCTTATGAACGTTCACCAATGCTGTTTCATTCGGATATCCAGGAGGTATTTGAGGCAGTTTCATTTAATGATTGTTTACTAATGATCGTCTTGCAGTATTAGCAGTTCTACGTTTGAAGTGTGCGCATACTGGCAGTTTGTGTTCCTATGTCTGTGTTTTATTATGGAAGTGAGGACTATTTTCTTTATCCTTGCATGGTGTATATATGCTTAAGTTCTCTATCCTTGGTTTCTTGTGTAGATATGGACTAAACTTCAGAAGGTTGGCTCTGATATAACTGCTCTCTCAAAGTGCCTGTCAGACAAAACATTGTCTTCTTTCCATGAACAGGTAGATGTGTGTGCTTGCAGATGCTTGGCTTTGTGTGTTGGTTCTCCTGTATAGTTTTGTGTTAAATTATATCTCAAGGTGACTAACCCTCCATTCATATTATAATTAGTGAAAAAGAATGTGAAAATTAGCGAATGAGCTTTCACGGATATTTTGTCTAACGTTTCTATTTCATTGTTTTTTCCTCATGTTACAATTGTACAAACTCCGAATTGTGATGCTTCAAATAATATTTTGTCCATTTTATCTTCCGTAAGTATCTCACCTTGCAATATATAGTCCAAGTGATGGGAATGTCCTTAGTTCTACAGTACTATTATTCACAATTGTTTTCATGGAGATTATGTTATCTTCAAACCGTCTTTGTTACTGTGTTATCTCTAATTCTCATCTCTAATACACATATCAATTTTAGTTGCAGAAGTAAATTAAAAGTTTCTGTTCCGCCTTCTTTATTTTCCATTTATGTATTTCAGTTCTTTTGATAGAAATGCCTCAAAACTCCCAATGGAATTTTGCTTACAGCTTTTACTAGATATCCAGTACATCTGAATGGAGCACTGTGAACAATAGATTAAAACGCTTATATATATACCAAGACGTTGAAGTCTGATTCTCTTTTTCATGATGCTAACAGTTCCCCTCACAAAAACCCATCATGACCACCAAAACCGAGCCAATGGATGCACAATCCCCAGAAGGGGCCCACACCTGCAGACGGTGTCGACAAGAGGCGAATGGCACAAACGTCTTGATTTGTGACTCGTGTGAAGGCATGTATCACATCTCATGCATTGAGCCCCCGGTGAAAGAAATCCCCACCAGAAGCTGGTATTGTGCAGATTGCACATCCAAACAAAACGAGCCCTCCCATGAAAACTGTGTAGCCTGCAAGAGGCTGAACACATCGCAATCCAATGACGGCACCAACAAAGTCAATATTTTGAAAACTGCTGAGAGCTCAAATGGATCTCTTTTTCCCATCAGAGGCAGTCAAAGAAGATACACTGAATGCAAGGTTTGCATGAACGAGATTAGAAATGAAGAGGACTACAAAATATGTGGGCATTCGTTATGTCCCAACACATTTTACCACGTGAAGTGCCTGACAGGCGAGCAGTTGGTATCTTATGGCTTGTGTTGGTACTGCCCGTCTTGTCTGTGTAGGGCCTGTTTGGCTGACCGGGATGATGACATGATTGTCTTGTGTGATGGGTGTGATCACGCGTATCACATTTACTGTATGGTCCCGCCTCTCGATTCCGTGCCTGAGGGGAAGTGGTTTTGCAGAAATTGCGATTGTGGGATGGCTCGTATATGGAAAGCGAAGAAGACGTACGGGATTATACCGAGAAAGAGGGGGCTTGATAGGAAGCTGAAAGGGAAAGAGGCTGCTCTTAACAAGTCGGGTGGGGTAGATATGCTTCTGAATGCGGCTAAGACTTTGAATTATGAGGAGAATTTGTTTCTAAAAGGGTTGAAATCTGGTCAAGCTTAGGGAAAAGGAAAAGAAAAAAAAAAAGTGGTNCAGAATTGTCTGGGGGATTGTATGTTAGCAGTGGATGTGGGATTGATTGGTTTTTAGGTGTTGTATTTTGTACTCTGTAGCATATGCTTCTTCTGAGATGTATAAATTGAAGGGAATATTTCATTCATTACCTGCTTTTTGGTTACTTTGGTAGATTTATAGACATTTC